ATATATAAAAAAAATTGCTAAACTATATAAATATACCAGATTGTATGTTAGTTTTCGTTTTTAGAAGTTTAGAACTCATTCATATATGTTAGTTTCTTAATGTTTTTAAAGTCAATAATTGTAATATATATTTACTAATAATTTTTATTATTTATTTTTATTTATTTTTCAATGCATTATATTTTAAAATCATTTAAAAAAATTTTATTACATAATTTTATCTAATTATACTATTCAACCGCTAAATTGCTACCAATCAACCTTATATTTGAACTATGATAGAACTCGCGTTAATATGCGGGTAAATACTATAAAAATTAATGAAATATATATTTAAATTTTAATTAGCAACCCGTTAGATTTTTTAACACTATTTAATGTAAATTTTAAAACCAATAGAAATTAATTTATTTCATAATTCTAATGTTCTAATACGTATCATGCAAATCTAAAAATATATATTATCGGAATTTAAATCATATTCGTAATAATAGAGAAAATATATATTTTAACCCATTATGAATATTTATGATTATGTGATAGTAACTAAAATACTATATAGTTAAATCAGAAAAGAGTAAATTTTATGTTAGTAAATTCATAAAAATTATAAATAATATTGTGAACCATCACATAAGTACATGATTGATAATTGTATTTTACTAATGTCATCGTTTTATTTCTCATAGATATTTATACTCGCTAAACTTTGTACAGTATTAACTTAATAGTAAATATAATATTATTATTTTTTAACTTATATAATTTTTGATATATACACTTGAAGATTTTTATTTTCTTTGTAATATTCTGTAATTCTATATTGATAAAATAAGTATTCTTATATATTTTATTTTTATTTTATTTTTGTGTGTTTGTGTATATTTTTAAACTTTTGAATTGAGGTTTCCATAACCTTTCTAACTTTTGTTTTTCCAATTTATATACTTTCGTTTTTAACATTCGTCTTTCTATTTATTTTAATTGATAAATAAAAAAAAACTTTTTATTATGTAATTATGTATGTCTATATTTAATCTTAAATTTTTTTTTTAATTATATTGATAATATTAGAAAATTTACTTTTTATTATTTAATTAGTAACTTGACAATTACTTTCCATTTAAAGTTTTATTTTTCTTAATTAATTTTAAGTTTTAACACATTCTTCATCTGATCAATATTAGATACATGTCGCGATCTCGTGAGTTATAATTTTGCTTACGTGTCATGCTGATATAAAAACGCATTACGGTAAATATTTTTGAATTTAAAATTTATAACGCCTTTAATTTGACAAATATAATTAGATTCTAAATTACGACTCTCACAAATATTTACTATTTATTTTATAATTATATTTTCTTAAATAGTCAATTTATTATATTTATCTCATACTAAAATTGTCTCATACAAATTATTATATTAGTAAAATCACACTTATAAATATGACATTTCTTTTTGTTTTTAACTATTTAGATAATTTATAATGAAAAGAATGTATGTTGTAATATAAAAAATTTAGAAATATTACATATTTTAGTAGAACGGTTTTTTTTTCTTTTTCTGAATTAGTTCATAATCTTTGTTTAAAATATATTTCCTATTTTTTAAAACTTTTTTGTTAATATTGAAAATATGACATATTTTAGTAGAACGATTTTTTTTATTTTTCTTAATTAGTTCATAATCCTTGTTTAGAATATATTCTTTATTTTTTTTATTAATATTGACACATATCACAATCTAAATTAAAAATTACACATGTCAATGATCTTGTGAATAAAAATTTTACTTATGTGTCGCGTTCTCATCGTGCGCATCTTCCTTTATATAATAAGATTGTTCTCTATTATCTAACTGCTTTCTCTAACTAGTGATTCTAACCGCCTTGTTTTAAACGACTTACTATTCAACCGTTTAAAAATTTTGAACCACTCATTTCAAATGGAGTCACTAATGGGATGTTTTAGATTTTCGGTGACTATATAAGAGCGGATTCCCTAACAGTTAATGAAGAGGTACACAATCCTCCGACTTGGCTTAGGAGAATTTAGTATATATCTTTTAATTTTGTATCTGGCAAAAAACAAAAATTAACCTGACAATAAAAAAAGGTTATTTTGTACAGTAGTGGGGAGCGGAGTTTTAAGATGGGGACTTGTTGTCTACATTCGTCCCCTCTTTGATATATTTTTATTTTGTATGTCATCATGTGTGGTGGCGATTTAAAAGTACTTAAGGATCATTGACTGAAAATATTTATTTATTTTGTCGGTCCACTTAAATCCTTGAAAGTTTCTCCAAATAAAAAAAGGAATCCATCGAATTTTCCTTGTACGTAGGACTAGTGTAATGTTATAAGAGGATTGTACGGTACGCACTAAGCACCTGTTTAGTAGGGTTGGGCGCGAATATCCGAAAAAATTCAGTATTTATGATTCGATTTGCTTTTGTTAGATATCTAAAAATGCAATAGGATTTGCTTTACTTCAAAAAAATTTAAATATCCGAAATTGCAGTATAATGGTAAGTTACCAAATGGTTGGTGATCTAGTGGTTTTGAGACTTGAAAAAAATTTAAGGTCACTAGTTCAATTATACTTGAGAGAGTGATTTATACTTTAAATGTGGTATTATCAACATGTAGCTCCGGGCACCGAAGAGATTATATATCAAAGATCCGGAGCTCCAACAGTTTATAAAAAAAAAAACTTAACGGTAGGTAATGGTTCTATATTTGAAGTAAATGGAGTAAAAATGTTAAACAGGTTAGATTGACTGAATTTTGTTGTTGACTTTGATAGAAAGATAATCTTGTAACTAACCAATAATTGATCAACGTATGTTTTTATAAATTTCAAAAAAAATTATTAGAGTGCAAACTTCGAATGCTAATTTTTTTTCTGTTACCTAATTTTATAACAATTTTTTTCTTTCTATGGTTGAAATGTAAAATTGTTTGATTAAAAAAAAATTGAAATTGTAAGTTTTTGGAAGTTTGTGTTGAAAAAGCGCTTTGTGGCTAGATCTCTACGTTTGTGTTTGTAACGAGTATGTATGAGCATAAAATAAAGAACATATAGAGTTTTTTCACGAGGTTCGGTTTTTTCTATATCNCCGGGACCTAGTCCAGAATCAATCCATTAGAAAAGGTTGCAACCTACAATTGCTATATGGCATACCACCACTCTTTTCTACATGGACAAACTATGAAGATAGGTATCAAGCACGCATGCTTGACAACCAACCAGCAGCACCGNTGCAACACCGTCTTCTCAACGCCTGCAATCTTCATAGACAAACCACCATCAATATGGTGGGACGGCGCCACACACACATGTGTGCATCTCACAAAGGAACCCTAGGCGCGTAACTCTTTTTGCCAACGCCTCTTGCCTTTTATACTACNACCACNAAACCCTCACATTTCATATCATGTGGGCTTTTAACCTCTCTCATAATTGGGCTTCCAATTCAATAAGAGCCCAATCTCACTTTTTCCCACATGTTGGAACAGCTTCGCATGTGTTCCAGTAGCTCGTATTCTGTTGCTCGAGAAACCTCTCTTTCATGTGTGTCCTCGAAACTGAAATCATCTTTGAAGAAGATTTGCAAATCAAGTGAATGTAATTCTGCAATGAGTTTACTCTATTTGGAACCGATTTTTTGGTGATTCTAATAAAAGGATCAGAATGCTGGGGAGATGTCCATGCCTTTTCATGTTCTACTACTAGGGAATCCGTTCTTCAATACTTTTTGTTACAATTCTATTAAATTCTTTCTAATTCACAATATGATGAAAAGAATTGTAAAATTGAATAACACTAACATTTAATGGAATTGAGAAATCAATCAATTGAATAACACAAGAATTTTATAGAATTTGAAAGAATGTCGACAAATAAACAAATCCAATAACACATGAATTTAAAAGAATTCAAAGAATACTTAATCAAATAACACTAGAATTTTATGGAATCTTAAATTCTTTCAAATTCACTTAAATTCCGTAATTGAATACCCCCACCTTAAAACAATTAATAATTTTTTACATTTTCTTTAGTTTACTATTTTGTAGGCCCAACAAATTTTTTTGCTTTTGGCCCATGGGGTTTGAGGGCCAGTCTGAATGTAATTTGTTCTGTAAGATTTGATAGATCACACAAGATAACTTCGAGCTGTTTGTTTATAAAAGTCCTCACCATTCTCCCTGCCATGTGCCTAAGGTTATTTTTTTATTTTTCATTCTTCATTATGGATTCAGTAATTACTTCTCGGTTCCTCCTACAAACTTTTGTTTCAACTTTACTAATTGCTATATTCACACTAGATGAAGATACGAGATGGCGCTTTTTTATTTTTTAAATATATTAGCTATTCACACTAACGGTATAATTCTCCACAAGAAGCATTATTGTTAATATAAATTAGAGTCTTGATGTTTTTGTATTTTTTGCAACAAATCACCACTTTCTCATCATTACTCATTTGTTTGCTCCAACGAGAGATGTCTATAGAAGGCACCAATTTCCAAGCCGATGATATTGTTTTACAAAATATATCGATAATGATATCCTTCAATCTAAAAATACATAAGTATGCCACCATTTAACCACGTTCTTATGCGGACAAATCAATCAAAGAAAATCCTAAACAGTTTCTACTATACAGTATTAAGATTTGATTCACCAAGCAGATGAAAGAGAGCTGGTGGTTTTGCACGAAATAAAACTGAGATATAGTTATCATATAGGGAGAAATAAAATTGTCACAAAAGATTAACAACGAATCATTTTCTATCCCTTACATTGTTAGAAAAACCCGCCTTATTCCAATCATAAAACTTTACACTT